CTTTACAAATGCCTTCATTAAAATCTTCCATGGAAGCAGCTAGCTCCTACTTTTTTCCTTGTCTTTTTTCTGATAAGACTGTTTCACCAACATGCAGAAATGGTAGGGTATGAAGAAATTGCTCCATTAAATAAGTAATATGTTGCTGTTCCACACTTATTAAGACGCTTTCAGTGACTAGTCCAATTTTTCTTAAAGTAATGAGGAGTAAGTGTATAATGCTTATTTTCACGCTCAAAATAATTACAGTGATCCCTTGGTAACCACATGAAGCTATGCTTTTGAAAAATTCTGGGAATGACAGAATAGTTGATTGGTAATACTTTTTCATAGAAAATAAAATTTGGATAGGAAATAAATATAATAGCTAAATATATATATAATTTAAAATCAGAATAAATAAATATCTGAAAGACATCTTATCCAAAGCAAATAATACTGGTCATTTAAAAATCTATTCTGGTAGAAAATACTCTACCAGAGCACCTTTTTCAATAATTCCAGAACCACTGTTGCTGTCCCAAGATCCGTTGAGACAAATAAGATCTTAAGCCTGAACATTCAGATTGAGAAACATTTTCTGCTGAGTTAAAATTTAATGTCTTGCATTTGCACTAATTCTATATATAGAACAAAAACCTTTTGTTCTATAGGTCTCATGAAGGTGCTTTGAAAAATAGTAACATGCACTATATATATAATAATATGGCATCTAATAGCAATAAATTAATGTAATAGTAATTATTATGTTAATAAATAATGAATACTAATATACAAAAATTGATCCACAACATTTAGAGCTAGAACTGTCACTTTTCTTTATTTTTTACTCAAATAGTACCTGATGTTGAACTCTTATTTACCAAAGATGGTAATAATTGTAGTATCTGTTACTATCAGTATCTCCTTATCCTTTTACAAAAAGCTTACGTCTTTTCATAAATTATCAAGGTGATGAAGAAGTATTATTTCCCCAGATTATTTTCCAATTAACTGTTCAAAGGAGAAAATTTTTTCTCTGCACAATTCCCATAGACCTATGCCCAGAAACGAAGGAGGAAAGAGTAAGCTGTATGTGTGTATGTGTGTATGTTTGGGGGTGCTTAATATTCTTTTGCTGCATAGGGATCCTCTAAAGCACCTGTTTAAATACTAATTTTTGGCCTCTGTTCCTGGAGATTATGATTCAACCAAGTTGAGGCAGAGCCCAGAAATTTGTATCTATTTATTTATAGAGTTTAATAAGTAACTTTGATGACCAGATCTGAGAAAAACTATAAGGGAGTAAACTAAACCTCATAAATGTGAAAAATCTCATAATTAAATTTTTGTTATAAAATTTAAATCATATAAATGGACCCTAGTGTTCCAGAAACTGCAGTTGGCAAAAGATTACTATCATTTTATAAGATAGCCCTCCTCTTTTTGAACCCTCTACTTTTTTAATTGTGGAAAATAAATATAAACTAAAATTTGTCATTTTCACTATTTTTAAGTACATAGTTCAATGGCATTAAGTATGTTCACACCATTGTGCAACCATAACCACCATCTATCTCCAAAGCTCTTAATCTTCTCGAAACTCTGTGCCTGTTAAACACTAGCTCTCCATTTTCCCTTTCCCCAAGAATTTGGAAACCACCAATCTACTTTCTGTGTTTATGAATTTGACTGCTTTAGATACCTCATGTAAGTGAAATCATATTGTACTTGTCCTTTTTTGTCTGCCTTATTCCACTCAGCATAGTATCCTTAAGGCTCATCCATATCATAGCATATATTAGAATTTCCTTCCTTTTTTGTGTTGTAGATACATTTTTTATTGGTACTTGTTTGCAGTACACAATGATTACATTCTTTCTGGGGAGTTGGTACATGTACATAACACACCTTAATTCTTTTTCATTCCATTCCCCTCCCTCTCCTTCCCCCCTTCTTTATCTCTTGGTCCCCTTTCCTTTGGCAAAAGACCTATCTCCTTATTTCCTGTTATCTTTTATTTTGCTCTTCATTTATATTTTGGGTTTCTCATACAACAGAATAGATGTGACATTTAAGCTTGTGTGTCTGCTTTATTTTGCTTAAATTATAGTCTCAAAGTACATCTATTTTCCTTCAAGTTTATCCTTTTATGGCACAGTAGTACTCCATTGTGTATAAATGCCACATTTCTTTATCACTTCATCTGTTGATAGACATATAGACTGCTTCCAAGATTTAGTTATTATGAGTTGTGCTGCTACAAACATAAGTATGCATGTGTCAGTAATGTCTTTAACTCTTTAAGGAATATACCTAGAAAGGGAATAGCTGGGTCAAATGGAATTTCTAGTTTTAGTTTTTTGAGGAACTTCCATGCTGATTTCCATAATGATTGCACTAGTTGTCCTCCCTCTTTAAGGTTGGATTATATTCCATTGTATGTACATGGCACATTTTGTTTATCGCTTCAGCTATCAACGTGGTTTACTTCCACTTTTGGGCTACTATGTATAATGGTGCTATGAATATGGGTATTCAAATATCTGGACAAATCTCTGCTTTCAATTCTTTTGAGTATATACCTAGAAATGAAAATATTATAGTCTTATAATTTCTTAGTACTATTAAGAAATGTTTGTGTATATTTCATCCTAAAATTCTCAGGACATGAATTTTAGGTTCTAAAGTGATGAATTTTAGGTTCTAAAGTGAGAAATATAAGACTAACTTCACATTTGTAATTTCACTCTATTTGCTCTTTCCTTTCAGTTCTCCACATTTAAATTTGTTTTTATTTTTTCACATGTTGTCCCTTAAGAAACTTATGACTTCAGTAATATTCAATTATTTATAATAAGTTGGTCAAGTAACTTAGTCCTGTTTTCTGCCAGCTGTAAAAGTAGTTGAATCACTGGCTCTAATCGATTTAAAAATCAAATGGCCTAAGACTGACGTATCAGGACTTCCCAGTAACCAAAATTATAAAATGTACTTCAAAAAAAATTCACTGGTGTCTCCAAAGTCAGATTGTAGATTCAAAATTTCTCCTCACCAGACTTTAGTCATTAGCATCCCATGGCTATAGAGGTCTGATGGTGGGAGTATCCAGGTAAGTGCTGCTAACACTTCACAGAAGCCCTTATCTTCCACTAAAACCCAAAACAAATGTCCTTTGTCCTTTATAATGAAAATAATAGCTCTTTTATTAAAGTGGCAGGCAGTAAAGATTGTTCTTTACTTTCAACAAAATCATAATAAAGGAATAAGAGAATAGGCCAAATTTCAAAACCAGAATGCAAACTGTGGGAGAAAAATTCTGGTGTTTTGTTTTTGTTTCTGAGTTCTAGGGGCTAAAGCAAAAGCCTACATACTGCATTCCATCCCTATCCTTTCTTTCATTTTTTTATCTTTTTGATTTTGAGACAGGGTCTCTCTAAGTCACTAAAGTAGGCAGGCTGGACTGTACTTATGGATACTCAGCTTCCAAAGTTCTGGGATTACAGCCACATACCATAATGGCCAGTTAACTCTGGAGTAAAAGAAACCTTTCCACTCCCTACTCAACACTTAGCTGAAATACTTGCTTTGTCACAATCTCTTTTCCTGTGAAATTTCACCAAAAGTGTTAGTTCTCTTGCTCTAGTCTCTAATCACAACTATATTCCCACAGCAGCATTGGACTCATTCTGCCAAGGCCATTAATTTAAAACAAAACAAAACAAAAAACAAGAAAGTATTATTAAATACATTAAATTGGCTTCTTAAAATTCTATTTTCACAGTGGTGCTGGCAGTTTTACACATTATTAACTGTCTCTAAATGTACATAATCATTTTCTAAAGCAATTTGTCTGTCCATACCAAGCAAGAGTCATTAAAAAATGTTGTAGGGCCAGGGAATTAGCTCAGTGGTTCCGCCGGCTGTGTTGCAAGCGCAAGGTCCCAAGTTTGATCCCCAGAACCAAAAAACAACAAAAAAAATGTTGCACATTTCAACTTCATAATCTTGCCAATGATGTTGTTCACATGGTTAAAAAAGATTATATATGTGACATTTTAATAGAAAAATGAAAAATATCCAACAAATGAGCAGTGTTTAAGCAAGTTATAATATGCAAATACAAACTATTATTATTTCTAACCTTATAAATAAGGTTGTGAGAATGTGGAAAATGCAGAAACACATTTGTTAGACTACTGAATATAGATAATACAACAACTATATAAAGGTCTACAAAGATAAAGATTGTAAGGATGGATAGCAAAAAGTATACAACATTGTGTTAAGGTAGGGATAATGTGTTCTTTCCTGTATTTTATATTTTATAGTGTTTTTTAATGACTATTTTTATAATTAAAATGTATCTGGTATTTTAAAATGGCTAGCATTATATGGTGATATAAAACCATTACTAAAACAACCATAATGATAATGAATACATATCCTCTAATACAGTTTCTCTAATACATTTTAATTTCTTTTAAATGTATATGGATTATTTTTCTCATTTAGAATTCATCTAAGATGATTCCAAATACTGTAAAGCCCTAACACACTTACTCCATTTAGTTTGTAAACCAACTCTTTTATAGTCTATTGCCCAAATGAGGGCTGGGGATTTTGCTCAGTGGTTCTGGTGTCTGCCTCACAAGCGCAAGGTCCCAAGTTCAATCCCTGGTACCAAAAAAAGAGAACCAAATGAATGTCTCAAATGTGTACAAATACATGGGTTTTCAAGCTTATTCAATTCCTAACTATACATCCTGACTGATATTTGAAATTTATATTATTTTCTCTTAGATACTAATGAAATAGTTCTGACTGTAATTTTTAACAAGACAAGATGAAATATTCACAAATTACACAACTGGTGAGGCTTTTATCATTATATACACATGAGAATAAATACGAACTTGCAGTAGAAAATATGAAAAATAAAAGAAGTCTAGTACAGAAGTGAGATTTATTTCCCTGATGATGTTCTGAACAAAGACACATGAAAGATGTAAGTGGGCTGGAAAACAATTTTATTTATTTGAAGATAATTTTTAAAATTAATATCATTTCAGAATAAATGTATGCAATGTCTTGTTCCTATTTTCAGATAATACTAATAAAAGCTACACCCTGATCACAGCATTGTATTTGGATCACAGAGATAAGGATGGAAAAAAAGGTTGTATGGGGTGGTAATTTAGGGAAAGAGTTACAAAATCATGGAAATATGAATATTCCCCATCTCCTCCTGCAGACTGCGGGTAAATTTCAGAGCTCTTCAGTCTTTTTCTCTTTTGTGATGAGTGGTAACTCTCAGAACAAAAAAAAACAGAAAGAAAGAAAGAGTGTTCAAAACATGCTGCAGGTGAAGTTTCAGCAAGTTCTCATCTGTTTCTTTTTTGCCAGTTTGTCATTTCCGGGCACTCTGGTGCCCTCTCATTCATACAATCACTGGATAACCAGAGCACAGCTAAAATGAGGACGTAACGTTCCTCTCTTCAATGTCTTTAAATTATACAGTCTTATGGTTTTATTTGAAAATTTTGTTTTCATTATTTCTAACATTTTTCCAAAAGCCAATTTAAATTTAATCTCAAAGCTCCCCCTACCTTACATCACATCAAAACAATTAGAAGATACTTAGCAAATATCTTTAAATGACTCATTATTTTACAGGTAACATATCTAAAGTCCAAAGAAATCAAGCAACTACCTTAGTTTCTATAACTTAAAATATTCAGGTAGCTGTGACCCAAGAATCTTGGCCTGGAATCCAACATTCCTTCATTTGTGCCACCCTGTACCTGTTCTCACTTCCATTTGGTCCATTTTATAATTCTGTAGAATCGTAGGATCTGAAAGTTGAAATTATCTTTACATTAATCAATTGAATTTTTAAATTTTTGTGTAGCAAAGTAAAATAACCCATAGACAAAATTAAAAGGCGAATTATTAGAGAAATAATTTGCAACAAGGCAAGAGGGCTTATCTCCTGAATAAAAAACTCAAGTCAATGTTCAAAAATCCCAGTGGAAAAACTTAGCAAAAGATTTAACTTAGCAACTTGCCATCATACTGAGAGTTCTCTTTGCTTTGCTTCTATGATAAATCTCCTGTTTCTTGGATACTCTTTCTTGATTTAATCTCATTTTGACAGAATTTTTTTTCCAAAAGTTTCCTGAGAAAGTGTGCAAGAGAGGCAAATACTTTGAGGTCTTAGAGGTCTAAAACTATCTTTTTTCTACTGTTATTACATTTGATTGAGGTTCTACTATGCAGATTATATGCATAAACAATACATATAAGTTGAATATTTTTATTTAATTATTTAGCTACAATTACTCATTAATGGGGTACATTTAATGCTGGGAACTGCACAACTTCTTACACTTTGGACTCAGAATGGACACTGCCCCATTTCCTGTTCTTCATTAATTTTCACAGAGCATTTAGTTGCTTTTACAAAGATGATGTCATTGAAAGGACTGTAACTCAATCTAACATCAGAATTGTAAATGATCTCGATCTAGTAGTTCACAGGGTTTCTGAGAGATATTAATAGTACTGCATTTCCCTCAAGAACTTAAAACTTCCACTGACACCCTGTGAATTTAGTGTAGGACCCTAGGGTGCCACAGAGTACAATTTGAAAACCTCAGGGATAAACATTAGGAAAAAGATAAAGTTAAATTCCCTAATTATGTATGCATAATATTGGCATATTTTATATGTGTATTCACTAAATATAAATATGTATATATATATGAATGCATGAAAATATGCAGCATTTTTCTGTGTATATACTATTGTATATATAAATATATTTATATGCCATAAAATTTAAATGCTCTAAAAATTATAGCCTGATAGACCTAAAAATTATGATTATCCCTAAGTGATAAAATTATGAGTGATTCTTATTTCTTTATGCTATATTTCCCATGAGGTTATATTTTATAACCAATAAAGTAGCAAAGTTCTACTTTGTACAAAAGAAATTAAACTGAATAGTAAAAGCATAGACCCAAGTTCAACCTAGCTTCTCTTACTGCAGAAGGAAAGTTTAGAACTCACTCAATAAAAGGATTTTCCTGCCGAGAATGAATTTACACCATTGTCTATAATCCATTTTACTAGGGTAAAAGTAGTACTTGTCTGTACAATTCAACCAAGAACTGAGAACCTCACTTAATCATAGCTCAGCCATAATAAAATAAGAGAAAAGGAAAAGAAATATACATGAGATCAAAGTAAAAACACTTTAAGAAAAACATAAAAAAGAAATATGACTCTTTCCAAAAATATAGATGGAAATCCACAACACACTTTAAATATACAACAGTCCTCCCATATCTACCACAATGCTTTCTGCAGTTTCCGTTACCTGTAGTGAACTGCAATCCAAAAATATTAAAAGAAAAATAAATAACTCACAAGTTTTAAATTGTGCTCCATCTGGGTGATGAAATCTCACTTTTCCACTCCAGTGATCCAGGGTGTGAATCATCCTTTTGTCCAGTGTTTATATGTTGTATATACCTCCTACGCATTACTCACTTAGTAGCCTTCTCCATTATCAGATCAAAAAGAGATAACTCTGTTGTCATGAAGCTTAAAAGTACCCCTATAACCACAGAACTTAATGAAATAATGTCCTTAATAAATGCTAAGAAAACCAGGTGGCACTGGAAGGAAAAAATAAAAACAGCACAAAAATGAAAGTCATACTTGGAAGCAACAGAAAAGAGAATATAGAAAACAAAAGCAGGGACATGAAAGACAACTTGAGGCAACAGAGCTATACCAAAAGGCTTTAAAAGAACCAGAGAAGAAATGAAGCTCAAGAAGACAAGCAAAGCAATGAAGTATACATTTATTTAGGGCCCCTAAAAACAAGAACAATAAGATATAAAATAATCAAAAATATATTTAAAAAATCATTTTTGAAATAAAAATTTGAAGCTACCAATTCAAAGGTCACGTATTTCAGTAACAATGCATGTGAGTGATCAAACTGGTAAAGTATCTCTCTTGATAAAGACACTGAACTTCAAAAGGAAAGAAAGAACCTAGTCATTATTTCTAAGGGACAAAAAAATGAGGGACCCTTTAACCTTCCCATAGTTGCAATATAATAATTTTCCTTAAAAAATATTTCAAGTATCAGATCTCTGGAGTACATGATTTTTTCCCTGGGGTCTTGACATTTCTCTGCCTTCTTTTAGCTTTCCATTTCTTCCTTCTATTTTGTGGTTTTTTTCCTTGTCCCTTTCTTCCTTTCCCCCTCCCTGCTCCAGAGACAAACATTAGAGATTTTCATATATGGATGAATTTAAGATCTATAGTTCTCTGAAGACATCTTAAACCAACCATCCAGTCCACAAAAGCAAAACACAGTGCCAAAATTGCTGGTAGCAAGCCAGGAATACATTTGATTGCAGAACTGAGAATCAAAGAACTCCTAAGACAATGGCAGTCACAGGTCCATCTGTGGATTTTATTGACCCTGCTAAGGTACAGGGGACTATAACTCAACCAAGGAGGAAGGCTATTTGTGGGATGGGTGAGGGGTTAGGGAAAAACTAATAAATGTCATTTAAAACAAATAATTCATGTACAGTCTAAATAACATTCTGTATAAATGTTTTAGAATAAATAAATGGAAAGATGATGAAAGAAAAAGAATGAGATGAGATCACATAGTAAAACATGGGGTACTAAAAAGCTAAGTTTGAAGCAAACTGACACGGTAAGGTTGAGGATAAGAAAATCAACAAAGATCTGTCTGGCAAATATAAACCAAAAGAAAGCAGGATCATGATGGCAATGTCAGAGAACTACAAGTCAAAAAGCACAAAATAAGGCAAAGAGAGCCACTTTAGAGCAAACCTACAACCCACAATAACAACCTAAGAGTCATGAGTATTTTTGTACCAAATAATACTCTTAAAACATAAATAAGAAATAAAAAGTATACAGAAACACAAGTAAATATAGGAAATTAATTCATTTCTCTCAGAGATAACAGGTTAGGCCACAAAAGGCTAAAATTCCTGAAAGTAAAAATAACACAGGGCCGGGGATTTAGCTCTGTGGTTCTGCTGCCTGCCTCGCAAGCACAAGGACCTGAGTTCGATCCCCGGTGCCAAAAAAATAATAATAATAAAAATAATATAGATAATATCACCTTACATAAAAAACATAGAAATTAATCACAAAATTAGAAAAAAAAGTTCTTCTGCTTGTAAGTCTTAAATTTCTCTCTAATACAAACTTTCATCAAAGAAAAACTCTAAGTTGAAATTGTCAAGCATCTAGGAAATACCAATAGTTGAAATACAACATATCAGAAATAATAAAATATTGCTAGAGCAAAGAGAAATTTATGGGGGCCAGGGATTTAGCTCAGTGGTTCCAGCGCCTGCCTCGCAAGCACAAGGTCCTGAGTTCGATCCCCGGTACCAAAAAAGAAACAAAAAGAAATTTATGTATTTAAATATTTATATATCTAAATAATTAAGAAAATGAATAATTTTATATGACATTTAAATTAAAGAGTTAGGGAAAACACAAACTAAAGGAAACAACTGAAAATTGAAACAAAATAATGAAATGGAAGAAAGAAGAATTAACAATAGAAGAGCTCAAGGAATGACCTGTTCTTGTTCTTCAGAGAATGGAAACTGGAACTCAAACATCCTTTGTATTCCAGAATAGGGTCTCAAAACATTTTGTAATCTTCATTTAAATTGCTAGGAGGCTTGGAGCTATTAGTTAATCTATCTTCCAATACACTGTTCAATGTAGCACTGAGTAAATGATACAAGTTGTCAATGGATTAGTGATCAACTAATAGCTCTGCTAGTAATTGATTTATTTTTCTTCAATAAAATTGCATAAACCAAAAAAAAAAAATAGAAGAGCTCTATCTTTGGAAGAAAAAAGTTAAATTCACAAACTATTAGCTAAGTTATTTATGAAATGTGAAAGAAAATGCAAATACAACAAATAAAAATAGATGGCAGGGTTTAGTACTGGATCCAGTAAATATGTGCTGAATAATTAAAATATTAAACTTCCTCAGATTTAATATTTTTAAGGACATACTGTATTTTATTCAATTCTGTGGTACACATTTTAACAGGATTTGAAGCTGAGATTCACTTTGCTATTGATGGTATCTCACAATAGCTGTGGATAAATTTAGTTGTTAATTCTGGTGATGGACTTACTGTATGACAACATATCCTCAACATTTTCCTCCACTACAATCATTTCAGAAAAAAATGAGTCCTGCTCATTGACTAAGCACCATCCATTGCTACCCTCTGATAAGATAAAGACAACACCACCATCAAAACTTCCAGAATGGGAAACAGCAACTTAGAAGAAAATGTAAAGGGAAATGATATTTAGAAAGTTCTATACAGTACAAAAAACAAGGATATTGTATGGAAAAACGTGACCTCAATGACTTTGCCTCAAAAAGCAATTCTGAAAAAAAATTGCATATTGGATGTGAAATTTCATGAAACATCTCCAGACCTAAAATCATTCCATGACCTTGATCTCTGATGCTAAGTTTCTGGTATACAAGAACTCTAACGGGCTTTTCCATTCCTCCTGTCCCAGTTCTACAGCCTGCTCTGAAACTTGGCCCTAGGGCAAGGATTCTGCATCCTCCAAACAGATGCCAGAAACTGACTGCTAGACTTTAAGATTTCTAGTTGCCAGCAGTCCTTGGGTCTCCATGACTGTGCTCCACTCTAATAATAGAACAGATATTGCATTGATATCTTATATCCAATAATTTTCCAGAATTATGATTAGAAATAATACCACCTAGACCAGAGATTCGGCTCAGCGGTTCCACCCACCTGCCTCTCAAGCGCAAGGTCCCAAGTTGGATCCCCAGTACCAAAAAAAGAAAAAGAAAGAAATGATAGCACCTTTGGGTACCAGTTCTTACCAGACCTCTTCCAGGATCTTCAATAGGATACAAGACTAAATTCACTAGAAGCCCTGTGTTGACACGTGATTCTTGACTCCAGCAAATAAAACAGTAGGAAGGAGTCCACACTTGGTCTGGGATCCAAACATCAGGGGGCTGAGAAGAAAGCCCGGAAAAAAATATTAAAACTATTCAAGTTTTATAGTCATACACATTGATAATAAGGGAATCATATTTTTGAGCATTTTAAATAGTTTTCAAACATTATGATTTGAACATACTTTTTTTATTCATTTTGAGAATTTGAAACTAAAAGAGTAGCCTATATGAGCTATAATTTTGAGGGCAAATGTTCAAACAAATGGATAAAGTGGAACACACCAGTAGCAATATAATCAGTATTTAATCATGAACAAACTCTATCTAGAGGGGGAAACCAATGTAAGCAGTAAACTAAGATTTGTTGACAAGACCTTAAATGAGTGTGTATTAATACAGCAATGTTATCTATTCTTAGATTAATAAGAAATTACTGTGTTGGCACAATCTTAAATTTGATGTCAATAAGGTATATTTACTTTTTCCCACATAGAGATTGCTGAACTAATTCCTATATTTTTAGTGAGAAATTTTTTTGATACAACTTTTTCACCTGACATTTAAAAATGTCTATTACAATTTAAAATGACCACATCTTTTGGCTCAATAATGGTACTTCCAAAAATTTACCCAGAAAAAAAAAATTACTTACACAGGAACACAAATGAATGATAGTCACCATAAATGAATGAATGGCATTTGCTGTAAAATTTTCATAAAACTAAAAACTTGGAAATAACCTAAATGGCCTCATTAAGGGATTGGTTAAGCAGATACAGCACACTCACTCAATGGAGTACTAAACAATCAACTTAAAAGAATTCATAGCTTATTATTTACTTCTATGATTTGGGTGTCTGTCTCTCAGAGTTAGAAACTTAATCCCCAAAGTCACGTGTTAGTAGTATTTGGCAGTGATACTCTGGAAGTGACTGGGTCAAAGGGACTTCATGAATAGATTAATTCATTCATGGATTAAGAGAATAACTGGTTATTGAATGAGTTGCTTTTACTTTATAAAAGCGAGCTCTCTTTGACAAATACATTCTATGTCATTATGTGATGCCCTCCACCATATTATGATGTAGCACAAGGCCCTCACTAGATATCAACCAGGTGCTTCACTATGCTTTTGGATTTCCTAGCTTCCATAACTAAATAAATCTCTATTATTTATAAATTACTTAGTTTGTGATATTCAGTTATACAACAGAAAATGGACCAAGACAGTATTGATACAAAAAGATGTCCAAAATATACTTCAAAGTAAAAAAAAAGAGGCCCAAAATGCAGAAGCATATGTATGATATGCTCATTTTTGTTAAGTACACATATTTACATATAGATGTACGTATTACACACTGCTAAAGTTGTTTTTTCTGAGGAGCAATATAATAATGATTTTGTTTTCTGTGTTTTATAATGCTTTAGCTTTTTACATATTTGTTATTATTAGACTATAAAAAATATAAATTCAAAAACATTTTTAGCTGGACACAGTGGGCCATGCCTGTAATCCCAGCTACTCAGGAGGCTGAGGCAGGAGAATTGTAGGTTCAAGTCCACCTTGGACTTAGTAAGACCCTATCTCAAAGGAAAAAATAAAAATAAAAAAAAGGTCTGCAGATACAGCTTAATGCTAGAGTACTCCTTGTTTCCATTCCCAGTACTTAACAGGAAAAAAATTAAGATTCTGTCCCATTTGCCTTTCCTGTGTCATATTCTAATAACATGTCCCTGAGAAAGAGAAAACTGCAGTTTTCTGTCAGTATAGAACAATTCAGAAAGTGTTACTTCCCTATTTAAACCCTCTTTTAGAGCTTAAATTGTATGCCCCCAAAATTCATATGTTGCAGTTCTCAGAATGTGACCTCATTTGGAAATAGAGTTCTTGGAGCTGTTACTGGAATCCCAATAAGACTGGGATTCATAGCAAAAGATAAAATGTGTACATAGACATAGACAGAGGGAAAGCAACATATAAGATGACAGCAAAGATTAAGGTGATATTTCTACAAGGAACACCAAGGATTTTAAGCAAACACTAGAAGCTAGGCAACAGCTGTGGAACAGATTGTTTCTCACAGTCCTCAGAAGAAATTCGCCTCCAGACACATAATTTTTGCCTGAGTTTTCAGATTTCGGTCTCAAGATTTGCAACGTTAACATTTTACCTGAATCTCTAGCTTGCCTACCTGTCCTACAGATTGGGGACTTGCTAGATCCCACAATTAAAAACTAAATCTCTCTCTCTAAGTGTGTGTGTGTGTGTTTGTGTGTGTGTGTGTGTGTGTGTGTGTGTGTCCGTGTCCATCCCATTGGTTTTGTTTATCTGGAGAAACCTAATACATCCTTTCCACTTCTAATAACTGGACTGAAACTCCATAACCTGTCATTCTCGACTCTCCTTAGCTGGCCCCAGAATCAACCATTCCAAGGGCATGGCCTCTAAAATGTAGCGGGTAGAAATATTCCATGTTTTTTCATTAAGTCTACATATTTCTCTCCATTCAGTACACAAAACATTATATTATGTGAAATTAGCAACATAAATTGTGAAACATAATCATGGTCTTGTTTTTGTGCTTAATAACCACACTGCTCATTTCATAAAATTTAATCCTCTCCTTAAAAAGTTGGTAATAACATATCCTCTTAAAACAGTTTTCCTTTAAAATTTGCCTCAAATATAAAAGAATTATCCAATTCTTCAGGTACCTATGGCTTCTTAATTCCTTTTTCAACAAATATCCACGTGCTCTCAGCCTGTAAAAACCCTTTTCATCTTCCTAATTTTCTCAAATCACACCTCTTTTTCTCATGACTTTATATCAGAGCTTCTTGTCCTTCGAATTACTGCTGACATTTTGGGTCAGATAATCCTTCGATAGAAACTAAGGCTATCTTCTGGATAGGATGCTTAGCACAGTCTCTTGCCTCTTCCCACTAGGTACGAGGGACACATCTTTCACTTTCCCCACCTCTCCTCCTGTGACAACCAAAAATGTTTCTAAAAATTCTCAAGTAGACCCTCGTATGCAAAACAGCCCCTGGTTGAGAACCACTTGCCTATTAATAGTCATACCTTTCTTTGGACAATAATAACATCAAGGCCAAATTCTTTGCTGCCAGTGAAAAGCTTTTACCATAGTTCATTTTGTATTTTTTTTCACCTTGCTCTTTTCCCAGGTGAACGATGGGAAAAGCAGTGTCAGAAAATCAAGAGATTTTAGAAACAGATTACTCATATTGTTCTTTGGTTGAGGGAGAATTATTCAATACAGCTGTTATGTTAATGTTTCTCAAAATCTGTTATGTATTAGAGGAAGGAAACAATTATAAAAGATAAATGTGATTTTGCTCTCTTATTTCATTGGTTATGTGTTAAAGAAAGTGAAGTATGAAAATCTCTCTCAAAAGTTCCTTAATGAAATCCAGTGACTCACTCTTTCTCAATGAAGAATAGATTTCATAACCAAATGAACAAAAAGCAGTTCTTCAAAATGAACAGTACATATAATGCAATGAAACCCGGTGACATGAAATACGGACCACCTGTTCTAATACTTGCATGCTGTTGGCTGTTACATTTAAAATGTCACACTTGGAATGACTGAGGGGTGAAGTCAACTCTTGATTTTTCCACACTAATGGAGACGAATATAGCTGACCTAGAAGGTCCCTGATCTCCGTCCATAAACTTAAGTGTGAGAAATATTTTTACCTTATTCAACCTAATTTATATGTCAAACCCTGAGGAAGGGCAGGGGTAAATTTAGAATACTTCACTATCACAATACTGTCTGGAAATTGTGCTACTTCTCAGGTTTTTCTGCCAAGGAAGTGCCTTAGCATGTCAGTAACATGAAGCATGACAGGGAACAGTACAAATGGAAGCCTGCAGACTGCACCTCACAATAGCCCCCTTGCCATCTTCCTGGGGACCCACCGAGATCTTCACACTGTGGTACAATCACATTTAGATGGGGATGGGGGTGGGGTACCAGTGAGCTTCCTTCTTGGACTCATCCAGCATGGAATCTGGATGGAATGGAGTAGACATCTTTTACCCCAGCAGAATGTGTGAGAGAGTTCTTTAGAACTGTTCCACCTCTGAAATCAACTCATTTTTATTGTCATAACATCCCCTCCGTGTCCTCCTTTCCCCCTTCCCTTCATATATACAGCCTGGTGAGTCTTTACCTCTCCAGAAAGTAAAAGCAACAATCACCCAGGTTATTTCTTGCAAATAATTTGTCACTGCTCAGAGATGCTCCATTATCCTAAAGATGTAAGCTTTCTGCCACCAAGTTTCCTGAATTTTTACAGTTTTTATGCTGGGGTTTTTTTCTGCTTACTATCTTAGCACATCCTTTCCCTGAGATACTGAGCAGAAAGTAACTTTGATGTTTAAATGGTAAGAAGTGGAATTAATCAGTAGGAGGGTAAGTAGATGTATATTTCTTAAAATACTATTATCAAACTATTGCATTTACTTACATTCTTACTTGATGATGAGTTAATATTTGATTGTGTTAGGCCGATGTTTTGAAAATTCAAATCAAACAGAATAATAAAACATTATTCATTACTAAGCTTTTCTGTCATTTCTTCCATGAACATCTTCTCCCATATCTTTGGAATTAAAAAAATACAATAATATTGACAATGTATACACAGACATTAAAGAGTCTATAGGAGATAAATTAGACATTATATGGGTAATTCTGGTAAAAGTATATAAAAATAGTAAGCCCTGAAGCCTCACAGTATTTGTGCCTCAGGAAGACTTAGACATGTGCTGTAAAGGTCCTAGACACTAATTTCATACACCCTGTATTTCTGAGCTTCTAGGTTTTATCCCAGAACAAGACAAAACCAAATCTCAGATGGCAGTATTAAGACCAATTGCCAGTCTTCTGCCAGGTAGCTAGTTTCCACATTAAAACAATGATCTTGGGAACTAATTAATCCTATTTCCTCCACCCCTGGAGTAGGATTTTTTCCAGATGACCTTATCAGTTAAGTTTCTTTGACTGCAAGCAACAAAAACCAATTTTAGCTCATTTAAGATTTAAAAAAATGTATTGATTCTCATAGCAGAAAATTCTAAGTTAGCATGATTTTAGACAAGCATGACAAAGACCTCATCCTTAGGGGCTGGCTAGTGGTTCCTGACATTTTCAGACTTTGACCTGAGGCAGCAGAAAGACAGCTAGCTTCTGAATAGCTCAAACAAAGATCAGGGTATTTAATACTGGGTCTTGTAACCCACTCACTGTCATTATGAGAAGTGAATCATACAGTGATAATCTGGGGTAGGGGGGGTCACCAAAATTTTTCCATAAAGAGCCAGATAGCTCATATAGTCTGCCATAACAACTCAACTCTGCCATTTTAGAGCAAAAACAGAGATATATAAATGAATGAGCATAGCTAAGTTATGATAAATCTTTATTTTGGACACCGAAATGTGAGTACTGTATAAGTTTTATGTATCATGAGATTTTACCCTTTTGATTTTTTCTGCTTATATTCTTTTATTAGTACATTTTAGGTATACAATACATTTACATTTATCATTGGGTGCTTATACCTGTACATGATGTATCTTGGTTCTTATTTTTTCTCCATTCCCTGTGCTTTAAAAGTGGTAAAAACTATTCTTAGCTCACAGACTTTATACAAACAGGCAGCATTTTCTAGATTACCCATTTCACCTGAAACACTCACACTGAAAATGAAGGACAAGTAGATTCCTCAAAGCAAAACTGGGATGGTGAGTTCTGAGCAAGAAAGAATAAATGTTTCCCCCAGCACCATGATGCTTCATTATTTTAAGCCATAAGGGCTTGGAGATGTGTCATCCAGTGAACTCACAGAGCTCATTCTGAGGACAGAAGCATACAAACAGCCCATACTAGCTCCTCAGGGCTATATACAACCCCCCACCACTCACCACTACAGTTGTCCAGGAGGTAGAGCCATACAACTACCTTCTGTAACTTCAGCAAAGCAAGCAGGGTACCAGTCAGATGGATAGCTCTGCACTACTAGTGCCCCATCAGCATTTCCAAGCCATGATACAACCATCAGTCCAACAGCACCACCTTGGGGCTGCTCTGGTGGTGAATCTGAGAGCCTGGATGTGAAAGTTGAGGATCTATCTTTTGCATTCAAAACATCCATACAATGCCAGAGAAGAGATCTGTTGTTGTAAAATAAGAGCATTCCAAGATGACCAAAGGTGTCTAGTGAATCCTGAGGCTCACATTATTAGCTCTCCATTCTGGCTTCACCTAAAAAGGAAGGGTTTTGAATGATGCTCTGCTCTATGATATAATGTTCTAGTTCTTGACACTGAAGTTCCTGTTTACTGCTGATCAGTTGTTTACTCCATAATCCCCCTGACCCTAAACCTGTTATTTTTAAATAAGCTATACAATAGTTTCCTGGAGGTGAGGGGGTTTTAAAATATCAAAATCCATGCTTCTCCTTAGCCTGTTAATGTAGAATTTTTCTGAGTGGGACCCAGACATCACTTAAGGTGATAATAATGTTCAGACAGGGACCATTCAGTAAATGAGGGCTATCCTTTATCAGGAAAATCTAAGTGTGGAACAACCTATGTCCTTGAACCTAATTCTGTAGAAAACTGGTCCCAAAGTCAGTTCTCCCAGCAGGAATATGAGCCTTTAACTTCCAAAGCCTCCTTTGGCATGTAGAGGTACCTTCCTTTGCTTTTGCTCTATAACACTACAGCTAAGGTCAAAACGTAACCCACCATTCTCTGCATCCCTGTATTGGTCAGCTTTTTCATCCCTGGAACAAAATACCTGACATGCACAGCTTAAAAAACAAAGTATTTTGGCTCACTGTTTCAAAAGTTTTATACCTGCATCAGCTGACTCCAAAGAAGAAATCTGGCAGAAGGGCATGCCAGAGAAAAGCTGCTACCCTCATGGCAGCCAGGAAGCAGAGATAGCAAGGAAAAGAAGAAAGAACTGCATACAGGATATAGGCCCCTCTCCCATCATGACCTACTTCCTTCAACTGGGCCCACCCTTAATAAGCTAATTCAATTAATTCATTGATGAGGTCAATGCCTTCATGATCCACTTACCTCCCTAGGCCTAACTTCTGAGCACTGCAGCAAGGGGATCAAGCCCTCAACATATGAGTCTTTGGAGGTACATTTTATATTTAAGCCATAGTAGCCCTTTCATCTTTCCCCATCATCCAAAAAAAAACAGATTCCTGTTTGCTTCTTGCCAAGCAGTCTTGATGCTTTTGCTCATCTAATTCCTTCTTCTTGGAATGGTCTGTCCCTGCATCTCTCATCACTTCAGTCCCATCTTCAACTCTAACTTTGTTCAAGATGACAAACCTTCCCTGAAGATGAGAAATGACTACCTATTTGCTCTACAGCATTTCCTGCTTCTTGCTATTATAGTGTTTAGCACATTGTATTATATTGCTTTCCATCAAGTCTAAGACACCATCAATTATGAAACATAGTATTAGTTTATAAAACACTAAGGAACAAAAAAAGCTGCCAATAAAATTATAACAAAGCTATGTTACTTAGAATTTTTACTTTACACATATTGAAAGAGTTCTTTTACTGTAACTGTAAAACATATCTAAAAACCCAGAATTTCATTAGCATTTCTTACTTAACCAACCAATGGTCTCAATTTTTCTTCCATCAAATCACATGTCACAGAAAGATAAGAAATTGCTGTTCAAACTCAGCAGGATATTTCTGATATTGAAATCTGACACCTTAATGATAGTCCCGCAGGAAGAATGAATTGGTCACATCAGCTCTTGTTGTTTTGAAATTTCTTTCTTGTCTTCAAAGGAATTTGACAATTTTTCCTGCCTCTAGTTGAATTTCTAGGCATGTGATACCAGTAATTCTCAGTCTATTATGCACTTAGAAATCAGCTATGGGTCTTGTTAAAATGCAGATTCTGGCTTTGAAAGTCTGGAATGGGGCCTGAGGTTCTGCATTTATAACAAATCCTTAGATGGTGTGGATGTTCCTGGACCAAAGGCTACACACTGTGTACACCATGTGTACAGTAGATGAAAGGCATCCTTTTGCACATCTCAGTCACAAGACTGTACATAACTTATCCAACTTGTATTTTTCTTTCTCAAGATCCATAAAGTGTTTAATTAATTTGCAAGAAAATGAGAAATGGGGTTATCCCTCAAATTATATGTATTTACTGCATTGATACAAATATATACTCCATTGTTTTTATCCTTTCCACACACATGCTAACTTTTCATTCTAATGCTGAATTACGGTTTAATTTTTAAAGTCATTTTAAGTGCCAATTAAATTGTGCAGTATCAACAATGCAGTTACCTCAGTTAAGGAAGGACAATATCAGCAGTTATGATCAAGCCTGCACTGACCCTGAGAACATTTAATGACTTCTGCCCAGCCACAGTGTCTGTAAGACACCATCAACTATAAAGCACAATCTGATTTCCAATATGTGAAATACGGAAAAAAAAATATGTGCCTTAGTAATGATGCAATACTATAGTTTCTGTGTTTTTGCCCCTTCCCCCCAACTGTGCAGTGAACTACCTGAGTGCAAGGAATAGAAAGCCTTTGTCAGAAAGACAGAACATACCATTGGGCAAGAGGTAAGTGTGTGAGACATAAATGTAGTCCTGATACTCTCGTGATGATGTTTCAGCTGGGTTAGGAGTTAGTGACTCATACTTATTTATAACTCACATGTATCTGAAGTGCTAACTGGCTGTTCCTACCCAAGGCTTAATGTGAGTAAACTAAGGACAACCAATGAAACTTAACAGCTAACAATAACCCAGATTGGTAGAGTAGATGATAGTGGTATTAAAAATAACTTATGGTGTCATTCTTTAAGATTCTGCTTACTGGTCTTTGCTGCCCAAAGCAGCACTGATCAGACCCAAAGCTCAGCTTCTTCTCAGTCTCATTTTTCTACCTTTCCTGTAATTCGCTGTGTGCTGCTGTGGTTCGTAGGAGACTAGGACCTGAGTGGTGGCTCCAGTCAAATAGAAATTCAACATCCTTCTACTGTTATTCATTTGGGTCTTTTAGTTCATGGTCATCTCTGATAAAAGTACATGAGTCCTATATCTCCAAGAAGAACCGTGGGAAAGAATTATGTTACCATTTTGTAAAAGCATTTCATGAAATAGTGTGTTCATTAACACAAAAGTTAGAAATACAAATTAACTAATTATTATTGAGAAAATAATCAAAACTCTTGGTAACTGAGAAAAATAAATTTTAATTACCTGATTTTAAATTCCCAAACCATGGTGCAATACTATAGTCACTATTCAAATAAGAAAAGTCCTCCATCTAAAGAAATCTCAATGAAATGGAAGTGGGCTTTTTATAGTCCAAAAGCATGAGAATTTAAAGAGTCATTATTAGAAAAAGACCTTGGAAATCATCTTGTCTAAACCCCTCATATTTATAGGGTTGAGATTTTTATAGATCTTTCCATCCTTGTAATTCTAATATTCCTTATAATCTTAACACTGTTCGTATGAAAATATAAGGTTGTTCAAATAGATTCATAACAATAAAGTTTTTCTTTTTATATTAAATCATAATA